TCCACCAAGTGCAATGTGGAGGGTGCGGGTGCAGTGCGAGGCGGACGCCGAGCGGAAGGGGACAGCTCCAGCAGAGGCCGCACCCCCAGGAACGGAGGGGATTGTCCAGGCGTACGCGGATTTATCACTGCCCCGCGCAGCGGTGGGTGGAAGGTTAGACGGCGAGAAGGAGTCACCCAGGAGCGCGGGGGCAGACCGTCCTGGGTGAACGATTGTGGAGGAGGGAGCTCTGCGCGCCATGCTTATCTGGGCGCTTATTAATGGAGGACCGAGCCTGTTGATGAGGGGGTTTTCGACTCGCCCAAATAGGATGGTAACAACCTTTGGCGGGGGCCCTCTCTTCTTAGGAAAGCTGGGGCCGCCAAGTTGAAGGCTGAGGAGGTCAGGGTCCAGCTGGCCAAGTTGAGGAAGGACAGTGCCGACTGGGAGACTGCCTATGCCGATCTGTCAGCAGTCAAGTTGGAACTGGAGGACACACGCCGTAAGGTTGTGTCGCTGGAGTTCCAACTGGCTGGTGAATAGAAAAAGTTGGAAGAGTCTAAGAGGGCCTGCGCCGTGGCCGTCGAGCGGCACGAAGAGGCTATGACCAGCAATGAAGAGCTGGTTAGGCAAAAGGAAGAAGCGGACTCCAGAATTGGAGATCTGTTGAAGGAGCTGGGGGAGGAGTGCGCCAGGGCAGAGGAGGACAAGGGGAGGCTTCTGAGGGAATGGGAGATGGAGAAGGCGAAGGTGGCGGCGGAGCTGGAGAGTCTGAGGAAGGGGATGGAAAAGGAGAGGGCGACGACGGCTGCTGAAAGGGGGGCCCTGCAAAGGGAGCTGGACGAGGAGAGGGCGAAGGCGGCGTCTGAAAAGGCGACCTACCCTGATCTATGCGTCGCAGCAGTGGAGCAATATAAAGGGTCCCCCGAATTCCAGATGGTGGTGGATGCTGCTATCGCCAGGAGTCTGGCTGGTCAAGAGCCTGGGGGGGTGGGCCCATCAAGGAAGACTACTGGAGGTAGGACGGAAGCAGAGGTGATTGAAAGCTTCCAGTAGTCAGACTTCTATAAGCACGAAATGGCCGAGTTCTGGGACAGTGGTTGGAAAATGTTCAAGCGTAGAGCTGAAGAGCTGTTCCCAAACTTGGACCTGAGTAGTGTGACAATAGGCGAAGATGATGTGGCCCAGACCCCCCTGGACGAAGGCGTTGAAGAAGAGGATCTAGCATCCAGCGAGGAAGAGTAGCCAAGGAGAAGAAGGGCTGGGCGTGCTTTGTGGGGTTTGGTTAAGTGTATACATTGTAATTTTTGTTCATTGTTTTTTTTTTTTTTTATACATTGTAATTCTATGAGTGAATGAATAAATAAATGAAGGGTTTGGTTAAGATGAATTTGTGTACGAATGTTATTTTGTGTCTGTTGGCAGCTGACTGTTTGTGCAGCAAAAATGAATAAAAACCTTGTGCAGTAAAAATGAGTAAGAAATTTTGTGCAGTAAAAGTCCACAAATGAGGATAAAGGGTAAGTTACAAGTAGTAGCTAGACAGTTAAGCGTAAATTTGAAAGTGAATGTGAAAAATGTAAGTGTTATGAGGAGGTTTGAAAACGGACGAGTGAGAGTGTAAACATGAAAGTGAGAGTAAGTAAGTGTTATGGGGAAGTTTCAAAATGTGACCAAGTGTGAAAAATGTAGCCTTGTTTGGTTTTGGAGTGGTCGGTCGAGTGTTCAGTCTGGCTGAAATGTGACTAAGTGTTGAAAATGTGGTTCTGCTGGGCGTTGAAGTGTTTGGTCAGGCTGAGGCTGTTGAAGTGCTCGGTCAGGCAAGGCTTTGAGGTGCTCGGTCTGGCCGAGGCTTTGAGGTGCTCGGTCTGGCTGAGGCTTTTGAAGTGCTCAGCCTGGCTGAGGCATTGAAGTGCTCGGTCTGGCCGAGGCTTTTGAAGTGCTCAGTCTGGCTGAGGCTTTTGAAGTGCTCGGTCTGGCCGAGGCTTTTGAAGTGCTCAGTCTGGCTGAGACTTTTGAAGTGCTCGGTCTGGCCGAGGCTTTGAAGTGCTCAGTCTGGCTGAGGCTTTTGAAGTGCTCGGTCAGGCTGGGGCTTTTGAAGTTCTCAGTCTGGCTGGGGCTTTTGAAGTGCTCAGTTTGGCTGAGGCATTGAAGTGCTCGATCTGGCCGAGGCTTTTGAAGTGCTCAGTCTGGCTGGGGCTTTTGAAGTGCTCAGTTTGGCTGAGGCATTGAAGTGCTCGGTCTGGCCGAGGCTTTTGAAGTGCTCGGTCTGGCCGAGGCTTTGAAGTGCTCAGTCTGGCTGAGGCTTTTGAAGCGCTCAGTCTGGCTGAGGCATTGAAGTGCTCGGTCTGGCCGAGGCTTTGAAGGGCTCAGTCTGGCTGAGGCTTTGCAGTGCTCAGTCTTTGAAGTGCTCGGTCTGGCCGAGGCTTTGGAGGGCTCAGTCTGGCTGAGGCTTTTGATGTGCTACAAGTGAAAAAGTTATGGGAGCGACATAGAGACAGTTGAGTTATGAAAATCGAAATCATCAGGCAGAATTTGCATTATGTTTAAAAAAAAAAAAAAAAAGAAAAAAAAGGGGAAATACAACGATATTGTCAATTCAAAAGTACGAATTATTGATAGTAACGCTTCAAATGTTCTGCATTCCAGGGATGGTGCAGGTCTCGGCCTTCCATGTCTTGAAGTCGGTAAGTGCCTGGTCGTGGTCGGGTTTTCACAACGTAGGGCCCCTCCCACTTGGCTGCCAGTTTGCCCTCGGTTGGATTCTTTGTGGCAAGAGTCACTTCTCGTAAGACAAGATCCCCTACGGAGAACTCTCGTGGTCGGACTCGGCGGTTGTAGTGTGTTCTCATTTTCTGCTGGTAAGAAGCCAATCTGACAGTAGCGGTCTCTCTGAGCTCTTCGACGAGGTCCAAGTCTGTCCGAAGGAGTTCCTCGGCCGCAGCCAGGCCCGGATGTAAAACCCTGGGAGTGGGCAAACCGACTTCGACCGGAATAACCGCCTCGGCGCCGTATGTTAAGAGAAAAGGGGTTTCACCAGTGGGAGTGCGAGCAGTGGTTCGGTAAGCCCAGAGCACATTTGGTAGTTCCTCAGCCCAAAGGCCTTTAGCAGCTTCGAGCTTGGTTTTGATGATTTTCAGAAGGGAACGGTTGGTGACCTCAACTTGGCCGTTTTCTTGAGGGTGACCGGGGGAGGAGAAGCACGGTTGGATCTGGAGATCTGCACAAAATTTTCTGTACTTCGCGTTATCGAATTGTTTGCCATTGTCAGAGATGATGGCTTGAGGGATGCCAAATCGGTAAATGATCGATTGCCAGATAAACCTGGTGGTGTTCCGCTCAGTGATTGTGGCAAAGGGTTCGGCCTCGACCCATTTGGTGAAGTAATCAATGGCAACGATCGCGAACTTGGTCTGACCTCGACCGGTGGGAAGCGGACCGACCAGGTCGATCCCCCACTTGGCAAACGGATAAGGGCTGTGGAGTGTGATCAACTCTGTAGGAGGGGCATGAGGGATGTTGGCGAAGCGTTGACATTTATCGCATCTGAGCACGAAGTCGGTCGCATCCTGATTGAGAGTTGGCCAAAAGTACTCAGTACGGAGTATCTTCTGGGCAAGGGACCTGCCCCCTGAGTGATTACCACAAATCCCCTCATGGATCTCCTGCATTACGTAGGTTGCTTGCGCTGGATTGAGGCACCGTAGATATGGCCGGGAGAAGCCGCGTTTGTACAATATATCGTCGATAATGACGTAATTGGACGCGCGGGATCGGACTTTGGAAGCCTGCAGCTGGTCATCTGGGAGTGCTCCTGTGGTCAAGAATAGGAAGATGTCGGACGCCTAAGGGATAGGTTCATTTTGAATGCACTGTATGGCTTGTAGATCGGGTGAAACGGCCGGGCGGTGTAGATATTCAACGCGGACATCGTGGCTGAGGGTGGGATGGTCAGCAGAAGCCAATTGAGCCATCTCATCCGCTTTGGAGTTTTCTGCCCGAGGAATATGCCTGATGTGGAAGGTATTGAAGAGGCAAGCAAGGGGGAGTGCCAGGTCTCTATAGGCTCGCATTGTATCGTCCTTGGCGTCAAAGTCCCCCGTCATCTGACTGACGACGAGTTGGGAGTCGCTGAAAACTCGGAGGTGGCTGACCCCTATGTCCCTGGCGAGGTGGAGTCCTGCTATTAATGCTTTGTACTCGGCTTCATTGTTGCTTGCTTCAAACAAAAAACGGAGGGCACATTTGAAGTGGCCGCCCTCAGGGGAGGTGAGGATGAGGCCGACACCGCTTCCTTCTCTTCGGGACGACCCGTCAACATTGAGAGTCCAAGAATGAGGATCTTCTGGCTCTGTTGGAGTTGGTAGGGGCGGGGGTGTGGTGGTCGGGGTCGGCTTGGTGAACTCCATGATGAAATCAGCTATAGCTTGCCCTTTGATTGCTGTTCGATGGCGGTAGGAGATGTCAAACTGGCTGAGTTCTACGGACCACTGCATCAGTCTACCTGAGAGTTCTGGTTGCTGCATGACCTTCTTCAGGGGCTGGTCGGTGAGGACCACTATGGAGTGGGCTTGGAAGTATGGGCGGAGTCGTCTAGAGGCAATGACCAAGGCCAGGGACAGTTTTTCCAGCAAGGGGTAGTGCTGCTCCGCGCCCCTGAGAGCTCGGCTAATGTAATAGACTGGTCGTTGGACTGAGCCATCTTCTCGGAGGAGGGCTGCACTGACTGCGGTTCCTGATACTGCTAGGTAGAGAAAGA